CCATGCCCGCTCCAGTTTGCCTCCTTTTCTTACCTCGTTCCGTAAGTTCCTCAGCAACACGGTGTCGCCCTCCTTGAATCTTAGTGGCTGGTGCTTTGCGTCGTGCGACTTCTTTTGCCGCTCTTGTGCTTTGTCAATGTTCTGCATTGCCTGAGCCTTCATCATGACACGGACTTTCTCATTAAAAGGAGAGGGTGCTTCTCCGTCTATGTCAGAAAGTGAGTTGGTGCTGCTGGGCTTTGACCTGATTTCCATCTCGATGGGTAGCACGGATGCACGGCCAAACATCAACTCGAACGGTGTGAATTTGGTGGAGTCATTTTTACTAGTTCGATAGGCGAATAGAATGGACTTGATGTGCGCATCCCAGTCATCTTGGTTGTCGTTCACGAACTTCACAAGGGCTCTCGTTAGCGTCTGATTTAATCTTTCATCAAGACCATTGGACTGCGGGTGGTACGCCGAACTGATCCTGTGGTCCGTGCCACAACTGAAACAGCTCCTCGTTAACCCTGTTAATGAATTCTCGGCCCTGGTCAGACATCACAATTTCCGCCACTCCGTATCTGGTGATCAGGTCCTAAAGGAAATCCGCCACACCTAGAGGACCGATAAATGTTTGTCTATCAGAGCAAGTCAAGTTTAAGCCAAGCTTGAACTTGACTCAAGCGAGCATAAAAAAGAGTTATCAAGAGTTACGAAAAATGGAGGACCCGAACAATCGAGATTCCACTGAAGTGAAATTAATTAAAGCTTTCACGCGTTTCACACTTACTAATAGCATATCTATCATTCCATGTTTCACACCTTTTTCAAGAGAATAACAAAAGACAGTTTTTCTGACTCACGCTAACTTTTCAATGACAGTTCAACTTCAACGGCTCTTTGAACATTGCAGCAGTGCGTGAGAAGTTGGATTTTGTGTGTACCTTGGACGCCATGGTAAGAAAACTGATATCCTTGATCTGTTTTGACATTTTTCAATCAAAGTGATATCGGAATGCTTTAATTGGTGTGCCAGACGATAAAACCAACTCGGAAAAAAGGTTGCTTTGGCAAACACTACATGTTTGATTGAAAAATGTTTTCTTATGGTTGTCAATGATACTGCCCATGTTCGGCATGCAGCTGTAGCTTACTTTCACGTTGTTCTTGTTAAAGACAAGGTGGAGATTGTGGTTTGGTGGGAAGTGCTTCTTGATTAGGTTGAGGAAGGTTTTAGCGACGTTGGTTTGGACATTTTCGCTGCATGGGGGGTTAAACCAGATGGTGTTTCTTTGTTGGATGATGAGGCTGATATTCTGCGATTGATGGCTGCGGGTATTTGTTTGATGACAGTGGGTGGGTGGTTAGATTTTGTGTTGATGTAAAGCGGCTCGTCGTTCGGTTTTCTGTATGGTTGGAAGAGTCCTTTCGTCAAGTTGAGTGTGATATCGAGGTAGTCAAATTATTTTAAGTTTCTTTGAAATGCTTGAGATCCTGTGGTGTTCTTGAAAATGGCGAGTCCGTCGTCCCTGTAGAGTCCGATGTTGTTTATGCATTTTTGAATAAAATTGAATAAACATCTACAAATCGAAGATAATTTCTCCGTGATTAATAAACTCAAATAAATATATTTAGCTCGCGAACAGGCTCTCATCATTGGTGCTGCGGGACACGCGTTCCTCCACACATGGGGAGATTTGAGACGAGTCGGGGAGAGGTTTGCCGGGGATCTAGCAGTGAGTGTTAGACCTCTTGAAGAGACGCTCGTGCAGAAGCGCTATATCAGAGAATTTTAGAACCACGTTAGGTATGTTCACCGCAAACGTCAAACCGTGGTCAGGGCTTGTGGTTAGAAGTTAGAAGTTTCGAGACTTTAAGCTTTTTAGATCGTCGTCGGCTTTCACCTGAAAAAAAATCATCATTGCACCACCATCTTTAATTACTAAAGGATGGAGGTCCTTCATTTCAAACACAAAATGTGGCGTAAAGATTAGTTTCCTAGAATCTCAAACAGATTGGTTGTAAAGAAAAGATTTCACTTCACACATATTTATAAGACATACGTGAGAACTTTCCAACAGGAAGAAAAAAAGCGCCAAGGAGTTCAACTTCCTCACACTGCCTTGCCCGAAGTTCAAACGTGAATGTCAAACTGCAAACTCTGGTCACGTGACTCCTAGACGTTAACCAAACACGGATCTAGAACTCTCTATCGACAAATTTTAACCGTTAGTCGTAAAAAAGTTAAAGGTCAAAATTTTCTTTTAACATTCCCGCACTATAGTGTGTGATCGTGCACGCGGGAGAAGAGCATAATGGGATTGTTGTAAGCGACCGTGGCTGACGTTTAGACAATTTACCAGTGAGAATAATTGTCGAATTCACTCCCTAAGCGTGAGATTCACCCAACAAATCAAGTAACACATGTAATAAAAATATATAAGGTAAAACAGGTTTAAACCCTCAAGAGAAACTGAAGTCACAGCAAATGATTGTAACTCTTCAGCCGAAACCTTCGATTTTGGGAAGGTGTGTGTTGAACTGGGGCAAAATTGTGTTGGAAAGGTGAAAAATCCATTACAAGCATAATGATAGACATTTGTTAAGCAAATACTTGATCAAACTTACCAATCAAAAGAGGTGGAGAAGGAACGGAAAAAGAACTCAAAAAGTTCGCCAGGCCAAAGGCTGAGGCTCTCCTCTATGCTTCCACGCAAGTTAAAAGTAAAATATTCATTGCAGTTTATATTAAACTATTTCCAATGCCAAAAAGACACTGCATAAAATGAAACGAGTTTGACTATTTGACAAAGGAAGAAGAACAACAGATACCGCGGCAATAAGGCTTCCCACTTGAAAGACATAGCGAGGGTTGATTCGCGTTAGATTACATACAGGACCTGCTAACAATCTTGCAATACACGAGGCTAAACCATAGAACATCAGCTACCCTGAGGATTTGCAAGCTGAGAGCCCTTGCTCTTCTGCATACTTCACCTGAAAGGAAAAATGTCGGCGTGTGATACCCAAGGATACCACTTAACGACTTTACGATCCTTTACTTTACTTGGTGGAACTAATCTGCGAACGTAAATCGCCTACGGAGGTTCGAGAGAGTCTACATTCAAACAAAAAATTCTGAAAATGATCGTTGTTCCAAGGAAAGTTTTCAAACGATCCTTTTCTGAAATACCTTTGATAATCTGAAGCATTCAAGATCTTGAAAGCGATCTAATCACAGATTCCCCACCACCACTCGCAAATTTTCACACATTCAAAGAGTAAAAACGTATTCCCACAAGTTTTGTGGTGAACTCGATGTCTTATGACTCGCCCCATTCTTCAATGTGGCTCCTAGTCAAGTCGCCTCCTAACCTAATGATCTCGTCCCCAGACATGGTTACGTCCTTCCAAAAATTTAGATTCATTTGGTCATGCCTGTTTGAACCATGAAGTACTAGAAGTATGGGATCAATGTCAGGTTCTGAACAACTGCGCACCTGCCCCTCCCCTAACCTAACTTTAGCCCTAACTTGTTATTAGTTGACTGTTGTTGGGTCAGGGGAGGGGTGAGTGCGCAGTTGCTCAGATACCGACATTGATCCGAAATAGCAATGGTCCGCGCAAGTATATAACCCTCAGCGAGTTGATCAAATCATCAATAGCTTGGTAAGTGCCCCCTGCGGTTATTATCTGTTTATTACTCAAAAAAAAGAAGAAAAACGGCCTCAATACTTACTACATGAGTTTGAGCTAAGGACTCCCCAAAGCGATCCGAAAAAATTGCAAAAGCAAAGACAATGAAAACGGCACGATTTCTCTTCCTGCAGTTTGGCTGTTGCCTTATTTGATTCCTTTTCTCGTACACTGGGATCTTACTCAAGCGCTGCTATTCCGATCACAAATACAGTTCCACCAAGGAATCTTAGAGTGTTTTCTAAACCAAAACTGTCTAGCAAAGCTTGAGTAAGCGGTGCCAGCGCAGACCCAGTCCACCGGAAGACATTAGTATCCTTGTGGCAAAAGGCCTCCTTTCATGGAAATATTTTGCAACAACCAAGTGACCTGACACACTAAGACAGCAGATACCGAACCCAACAAACAAGCTGTAAGTCAAATAGTAGACGAAGGCACTTTTGGCAAATGATGCTAAAACAAGTCCAACTGTTGAAGACAGCACCCCAAACATGGTGACAAAGCGGCAGCTAAATTTATCCAGCAGACGACCAGCCACAGGACTGGAAAAAAGTAATGGAAAGTATGCTAAGGAAACTATCCAAGCTGAAAAGGAAAATAAGGTTAAGGTTAATCACAAAATGTAGGCAGTTTTGTTCTTTAACCCTCTAACTCCCATGAGTGATTAAGAGAGAATTTCTCCTTACAATATCAATACAATAGCAGGCAGACAAGTGATGAGAATAAAGAAAAAATATCAAGTAGGGGATTTTTAGTTGATCCAATATCAAATTCTCCAAAGAAACATTATAGATGGACAGTAAGGAGGATAACTAATGAGATCTCTGAGGGTGAAAGGGTTTACAGAAAGAGGAGTCAGGCACAATAGTGATGGATAGAAAAAGGTACCACATCCCAAATTTCTACACTGGTTTAGTCTGCAATGGTGTCAAGAGATCAAACTATGGCCCTATAAAAACTATGGACCATACCCCCCAAGATCTGATTATTAATTCTCTCTTCTAGCTTCAACTCATTCCCTTGTAAATTAGTTAAGAGAATTTGGTAATAGATCAAGATAACAACTTCTACCCGTCTAAGTTTGAGTATTCTCATTACCTGCTTGCTCGATAATGTATGGATATTATAAGGAGAAGTTACATTTTAATCACTCCTGGGAAGTAAAGGGTTAAAAGAGTGATGTAGACACAGTATGCAGTCACAAGGCTAAAAGGATTTCAACACCTCAGTCACTACATTTGAGAGTGATTAGTACTTTTAAAAAGTTATTGCAATTACCTGTAGTTAAATAAACAAAACACAAACTTGATTTTGTCAGAAGCAGTTCAAGCTTTGATAGGTGGCTTTGGATCCACTGCCTCAAAGTCTCACTGGAGTTTCCATCAGAAAAATCCTTGGGGCGAGGATGAAAATCAACGGCAAACTCAACACTATTTGATGCCAGATTTAGAAGTCAAACCCAAGCCATCGTCAGTGGTGATAGATAAATTCTCTTACTACCTTGCCCTTCCTCCTCACACAATATATCCCAAATACAATTGTTCAAGAATTGTCTATGGTGAAGATTTTTCAAATTATGCATTTGTTTTGTAAGACCTTGATGCAACAGTGTGAAGAAGCTTGTATGACTAATTCTGATCTCATTCATCCAAATGTGATTAGCAGGTGCCAAACAAAAAAAAATTACAGAGCTTGACACTGAAGTAAATTCTAGTTTCTGCTGGTTACCTAGAATCCCATCTCTTTTTTCATTCTCTATTTTTTTTCAATTTCATTGCTCTTTAAAGATGGCACAAGACTCCCCTATTTTTAATTTATACTAACTTTAATATACCAGCATCCCAAATTTTTATTATATACTATGTTCAGTCAGCACCCCTTCACACCCTGGGCATTACCTTCCAAAGTTACAATAGGAGAGAGTGAATTTAGCAATATGAGAACTCAAGAATGTAATCATGACAAATTGTTGTGCAAAAATAAGAATCTCCAGGATCAACCACTGTTCTTCAAAATGTGAGGTCTTATTCAATGAAAAAACAGCTGTGTTTCAGATAAAGACCTCAAGGAACTAATTGTCAGTGTCTGTCCAAATGGTCTTGACGGTGTCATGTAATTCAAATGTGACAACAACATACCATATTTCCACCAATAAGCACCCAGGTGCTTCTGTAACATTTTGGTTAAAGCAAGGGTACTTATTGGAAGGATGGTGCTTAATCAAGGGGGCACATATTAAGAAAGTGCAGCAATAGGACGAAAATTTATATGCACATAGAGGGAGTAGGCAAGCACGTGGAGATAGAAACAACTGGAATGGGAAAGAAAATATTCTCCTGTACTGATTCTGCTGTAGCTAAAGTTGAAAAAGTTGTTAGTAAAGTGGCAATAGGAACAAGTTTTCATTGAATCCCTACTTTTTAAGGAACTGAGGAAGAATGGGCAGAGGGTGCTTGTTCACGAGGGGCACCTATTTGACATCATGGCCTTGGGGGGGTGGGGTGGGTGCTTAATCAGAGGGGGGGCACTCGATAGAGATTTTATTCAAGAAAACACTGTGATTAGAAATACAAAAATACACATGATTTAATTCGAAACTTAAGTTACATATATTAAGCGTAAAAATTTATGCATAAATCATGTTGTTTCCGACCAAATCAAAATCTGTCTCAAAAAAGCAAGATAAAGCTGGTAACGGGGTGATGAAAGACGATGATAACGAAAGATTGCAAACATTTGTCCAGAACACCAGAAATTAAAAAGAAAAGCCCTGGAGGTTAAAACACCGGCTATTACGTCGTATGCCCCGGTAATCTCGTACCCAGATCCTACCTTGTAACTGTGTATTACATGTATCTTGTCTTCATGAGTTAAAGCGTTCCATGATGACTGGAAAAAGGACTCCAAAGTTTAAAATAAGGCCAATGTTCACCGCTTGCCAGACAAAGGCGCAAACATACGTAGCAGAAGACCAGCCACTATCTTGCTTGCGCCGAAGCCGATTTGGGCAATTTTTATCAAATAAAAATATCATTCGGTGTAATATATTGAAGCTGAACTCCTAAATTTTCTCTGCGAGTGAATACTTCATCATTTGATTATCCAAACTGGCATTGCAAACTGTGCGTGACTGTCTACGTGACTACTAAAGAGCATGTGACATTAGATCAGCTGAAAGGTGAAAGGCCGCTGGAACTTTTCCCTGAAGGCGCAACGACGCGGCTTTTTTATTCATAGCGTGACAGGAAACGAAAATAAATTGTTTAACTCCCGTTGCGATCGATTTCCCTGATTGCAATGAGCATTAGCGATGAACCAGATGAAATGCAGGATTTATAAAATATCTCTGCCGTCTTGTTAGCTGTTGACATGGTTCCTTGTCGTGGTCAAATTTTTTCTTTCAAGCAAGATAGCCTCTGGTCGTGGTTTGTTTGTATTAGTACGACATTTTGTATGGTCTTGACGGTTGGATTTATCTTCGCTCTCGGTGTTTTCCTTCCTGTCTTCATGGATTCTTTCAACGAAAGTCGCGAAAGAACAGGTTAGTTTTGTTTAAATCGGAGTGATCTGCTTGTTATTTCTGTGAACTATACCGATGTGTATTTTGAACGAATTTCAGTTTCCCCGCGTTACATATGATAATAATTAAGCTGTGGAAACGGAGCGTTAATGAATATAAACAGCGTTCAAGGTCCCGATCTTACTGGATTGCTTGAAAAATCGTTCCTCCCAGAAAAGAGAAAAAGTGTTCCTGTTTAGACGGTCGGAACAGGAAATTGTATAATTATGTTAAAGACATATTTTGTTAGTTCGTTCGAATCCATTCAAGTCGTTCCTTTCAAGCTGATATCCTGCGGGTATCGATTTGGATGCGATTCTATGCTTGTGACGTACCTTTCCAGTTTGACTGAGGAAGAGAAGGAATGCAACAGCAAGAAGTAATTAATACAGTGGGAAAAAGGTGTAATCGATGAAATCCGTGCAAAGCAATGAATGAAAGGGGGAAACGGTCTAAGAATCACTACATCAAAAATTCCAGCTTGCTTTTCGTTGTATAATTTAGAATCAGTGTATTTTTGCTCCCTTGTTATTGTCCGCAACGTAACGCCACGCATTGATTTTCGAATAAAATCAAAGAGGGAAGGGATAGAGTTTTTACCCAAGTGATCCACCATTTCCGGCTCAA